GTGTTGCGTAAATGAGTACGCGCAGACTGTTGAAGGTATGTTAACCAATCAAAAGCGTCAGCGGCAAATCAAATTAAAGCGCTTCGTAACCAAGGCACAGCACACACATCCTAGGCACGGCGTATAAATAAGCCCAGTGAAATAGTTCAGTTTTCTTTGCTATAAAAATCACCTTTCCCGTGGGTATATTTTGGTAAACTTTTTGTATGTTGTAGATATAAAATTTAACTATATATATTCATAAAAAAACGTTTTGCTGCAATCATGTCCAACTTTGGTGCTTCAAATCCGTATTTCTGGTGGACTAAAGGCCAACTCAGACAGCGTCGGCCGACGCAGCCCGACCCGATTTATCGTCGGGGACCGTCTTTAGCCGTCGTGAGAAATATTAAACACGTTTAATATTCTACTACGCGACTGACACCATCGCGTCTGCGTTCAACTCACACAGACCCGACGCGACAACAAATCGCGTCGGGCTGCGTCGGCCGACGCAGCCCGACCCGATTTATCGTCGGGGACAGTCTTAAGCCGTCGTGAGAAATATTAAATATGTTTAATATTCTACTACGCGACTGCCCCCGACGCACACCATCGCGTCTGCGTTTAACTCACACAGATCCGACGCGACAAAAAATCGCGTCGGGCAGCGTCGTACGACGCTGTCTGAGTTGGCCTTTAGGGTATCACAACTAGAGGTGATGCTAATTAAGGCCAAAAAGAAAAACACAAAATGTTTTGTGTTGGCCAGGTTTTGAGAAAATCCAAAAAATGGTAGGTGGGCAGGAAAACTTTTTTTTTTTTACAACTAAACATGTGTTTATGTCTAAAAAGTAAAAAATACACAAATATTACAACAATTTTGGATTCGCATCACGTACCGTCCAGCAAAATAGGCTATCCTTGGTCCCCTAACCTCGCCAAGGCTATTCCAGCCTTATTTGCTCATAAAAAATATTGTTTGTTGTCAAAAGAAAAAAAAAACTAAAACGACGACCCTTAATTTCATAAAATTTGGGTCGGTGACTCGGGCGTGGCCAACACAATAATTTTTTTTTCTTGGCCTAAATTTCGGCTCTGTGGAGTCTAGTCCCAGCCCAGTTGTCTTGGTTACTCACGTTATGATGATGATTGATTTATATTTATTATATTATTAAGAGGGTGATGGTGGTGTCATAAGTATAATAATGGCGCAGGGTGGGCGAGGGGAGGGGTGCGGGAGAAGCATAATTGTTGTATTGTGATTATTTTAAGATTTTGATGATGTCTTTAATGGTGGTGATGATGCGGACGATGATGATAATAATGTTGATAATGATGATGATGATAATTATGAAGATAAGTATGATATGATGATGATGGTGTGGACGATGATGAGAGGCCTAACTCGTTTATGATTATGATTATCATTGAAGATCATGCAGCGCCAGGATTTACCCGACGGGTGTCGCGCAAACTCTCTCGAAAGTGTTCTAGGGGCCGGAATATATGACATTTTAGGGGTTTCAGGGCTTATTTAATCGATTTTAAAGTCTGCTAATATGTAGAAAATATATAATTATACGTTATGTTTCTCCCCGACGAATTGTGGTTTTTCTCACCGACGTGGGGGGGGGGGGGCATCTCTGAACAAGGCTTTAGGCATCCCCTTGTTTTAGACCCCGCTACCGCCACCCCTGTGAAGATGCCGATTTATGATACACGTAAAAAGCACCAGATAGGCTTGTATGATTAGAATGAAACACACCAGCCTTGATGTCATCTGTGGACTCAGCAACATTCTGTGTCCGTCGGTCATTCTTGTCACTACCTTCTCCATTATCGGTAATTGTCAACCCTACAAAATGAATAGTTCAATAAAATGAGTTCAACGATAATATCTTGATCGATGTATCAAAGTCTTCATAGGCCCTACATTGTAAAAAGGCATTGAATGATTATGGTAGCGGAGCTATCAATAGACCTTTGCGGAGTGCCAATCAAACTTATTATATAACTGAACAATCAGAACAGGGTCAGAAATACGCGCGCGTATCATAAACACACGTATTTTCCCATAACGCACATGTTTGCGTATGTTTGTTTTTACACTCCTGTCGTTTTGTGAGTTTAGCAAAATTATTGGTTTCTGTTTACTGTATTTCAATTTGTTTACTTTTTTCGCGCCATCAAGTAGGACCCATGCTGAGACTGCATGGGTCCTTCTCGCGTTGGGCCGCCTAAATGCATCGTGACACGCCAAGCTATGCGATCGAAAGCGTCGAAGCGTAACATACGAAACTTTTTACTGTAATCGTATTCGTATCTTATTTCGACAATAAACGGTCAAGACGATTTTAGAAGATTCCCAACCGATGATGATGCAATAAGAGCGTTCTTGTGGGTCTATTTCAGCTGAAAATGCATCTCCATTGCTTCAAATCGCGTGAAGTTAAGGCTGATGGGAATTTTCTGAAGTGAGAGAATATTAATGATGGCCTGATGGATTCACATTTTACATGTTTTGTTACTTCTAATCAGTGGTGGCGCCAGGACCTGCCCGACGGAGGGGCTAAAGGCCCCGACGGGGGAGGGGTGGCTAGTGGAGCGAATCGAGTCTCACTTGGGTGGGGGCCAGAGGGGCCACCTAGAGCTCCCAGTGGGGGTCCAGCTGGAAGCCACGGATATTTGATGAATTATGGCGAATTGTTATTACTTATTTGATAGGCATCTATTTACTATAATATGACTTCATGTAGGCTATGATTTCTAATGTTGAAATCAGCTTCCAAAACCAAAACATTTTGAATGAAACAGGAAACAAAGAGTATGCAATGTAACCATCTAATTAAGTGAAATTCTATATTTTGGAAATTTTGCATGAAATCTGTCAACCACGCTTTCATGGTCGAGGTTGCTTCACCTATCACGAATATTCCAACCATCATGAGGCTATCTAAATGAGCATTTGTCATAACAGAACGCAAATTATTTTTAATTAGTCTCATTGAATAATAATAATAATAATAATTATTATTATTATTAATATTATTATTGTTATTGTTATTGTTGTTGTTGTGATGAAAAGTTAACACAAGCAATATAGTGGCTAAACGAATATTAGATGTAAATATTTTTTTTTATTTGTTTGTTCCCCGACAAAAATGTATCGTCTTCCCCGACGGGGGAGGGGCTATGCTTCTCCGACGGGGGGGGGGCTATAGCCCCATCCCCCATCCACTGGCGCCACCACTGCTTCTAATTAGTACAGAAATGTAACATTATTGTTATTATTATTATTATTATTAATGTTGTTGTTATTGTTTATGTCAACAATGTGTATGATGGGCCTCCCACTTTGGTAAGGTAAACAATTACATTAGCCTATGGAAAAATTTTACGTCAATTTGCATAAAAAATTTATTACGATGAAAATATTGTTGGATCGTGCTTTTTAAGGTTTGGCTCTAAATAATTACTGTACCATTCTAATCGAGCATGCGGCTGTTTTTCAGTGTACTAAGCCTACAGAGTATTAGGTCCCTTTTTGATAGCGTCTTTTAGTTATTTCTATGCTTAATCCTTCTATAACTGGAAGGTTCTGAATGTTTACCATTTCAATCAGTCTGAAGCGATCAATATTGAAAGAAATACAGCATGTTCTTTTTCTCATCTATGTCAGAAACATATTGTTACACCATTTTAGTAGATTTTTTATCTTTAATTAAATACAAAGTGTACAGTACATTAAATAATCGATGTTAAATAATCAATTATTCATGAAGATTCCAACTCTCTACTTGGTCATCATATTAAATATATTTAATAGCAGAATATTCATTAAAAATGAAATGAAATTAAGTGGCCAAGGTAGTTGATAAACTAGAATATAGGATCACCAGGGATAACAAAATAAGGAAGCACTTGGTAAGGCGACTTTTCAGAATAAATTATGTACCAACGGCGACAGAACGTTTTTGAAAGGGGGAGGGGCATTTCATAAGGTCCGGTATGCGAGGGAAGCGAGCATCTAGGCTGGGGGCCAGGGGACCGCCAAACGCCCCGGTAGTGGTCCAGGAGTCCAAGTCCCCCACGAAGCTACGGATATTTGACGAAGTTTGGTGAATTTGGTTAATTTTATAGGCATCAAGCTACTGTAATATGGCTTCATAATTGTCTTCGAGATTGCTTCCACGATCACAATGAATCATTTATCATGAGGGGTATCCTTGATGGTATTCCCCGACGAAATCTTCTATTTTCCCTCGATGGATAAAATTACCCTTCGATAATAGCCCTGAAATGGTACTTCAATTGTGGCGGGTCCAGGAAGTCGAAAACGAATGGGACCGGGGAGGGACTCGCGCAGATGGAGTGTTCACCCACCATGGTTGGGGCTGAGGTAAGAAAAAATTTTGATTATGGCACCTCGAGATGGTCGGAAATGGTACTCTCAGATGAAAAAATTTGAATACAATTTTGTCTGTTTTCTTCATTTTGTTTTATAACTTTGAAAGAATTATGAGGGTGGGGGCCCGTGCCGACTGGGCTTCCCCATGAATCCGCCACTGTTCAATATAACACTTGACATAGCCTATCATTTTGTTTAACAAGTGACTAATTCCTAATGTCAAGCGAAAAATGTTTTATTCGAAAGATTTTCTTTTATTCAATACAGTTTTTGCAATGTATAGTACATTAATTGTAAATTCTGTAGTTAACCTTCAGAGAACTTGAATTTTAATAACTGGCCTAATTAAGTATTTCTTGTTTTCGTTAAATTGGATGGAATTTAAATGTAGTTATATTACGCTAGTTTGATGGTTTACTGTAAGCCGATCAGTTACACTTACATCTTTATGGTTAACATAATATAAAGAGAGCATCGCTCCATAAAGAGTGTCTACCTCTGCCCTGTGCCTAAATACAGCATTGACGCATGGCGGGCGATTCAATTATTATGATCGAGACAGTTTCAAAGAAACTTTACAGACGTGCGTTTGACGTCACTCAACAATGTATCTGCCGAATCGCCGATATCAATAAGCAGACATTTAAACGTTTTGCAGTACTTCTGTATCCCATTTATTTTATACCACTATAGCATGATTTGTCTTGACGTGTCTTTTTTAGTATTTTGCTTCATCTTTTGGCTAATTCTGAAAACCTCCAGTTTATTTTTGGTACATCTCCAGATTTTTAAGATTAAAAAAAAAAAATTAAAAAAAATCTCCAGATTTTCATGACCCATGGGTTGGTTGGTAGGTCTGTAGTATTGATAATTTTGTTTGTGGTAGTGAAGAAGAAAGAAGATGATGATGATAAAGAAGATGAAGATGATGATATTGATGATAAGGATAATCTGATATTGATGATGGTGATATGATGATTATGATGGTGAAAATAGTTATTAAAATAATTATTAGCAAATAAGGACATACTTAGGTTATTATATTAAGAATGGATTTGACAAGAAGAAGTATTACCGTTCTCAGTTGACGTTTCTGTCATTTGTGCCGGACGGTGACTTGTCTTGCGATATTCCGTACGCATGGCAGTCATTACCGGCTGCCCAAAGCTAATGGGAGTGTCCGTGTTGTCACTATCGCCTGATACATATTCTCCAATCGTGTTAATGTTGTCTCCAATCGTAGTAATGTTTTCTCTTTGATAGCTCGTGGTGTTATACTGCTGTGACACGTGTTGCGGCTCAGTCCATTTCAGGTCTGCTGTAGAAATCACCCGATTTTGCGTTTGTGCGTTGTCATCCGTGATCATCTGGAGTTGAGTCCAGGTGTCAAAAGTGCCGCTGTCATTATACCATGTGAGATAGTCGGCGCAGTTTGCTATTTTGTGTGTACAATTAGCATCGCACTTCTCAAAAACATTATTTTGGATTTTCCAATTGCATTTATTCATTGGACACTTTACCTCCAACAGCTGATTAGTGGTGTCTGAATACTCCGCACTGCATTCGTCACTCAACACTTTAAAATAAAAGGATGTAGGTCAAGATTTAGTTTGGTTTCCATAAAATCGCTACACAGTCGCTACAGCGTTTTCACTGCAATACTGCGTAGCTGTCCCCGACGCAATCAGGAAAGCTCCCAGATTTAACTGACCAAACATCGTCGCCAAAGGAGTCGGCGATAGCATGTAGCGATTGTATGGAAACCAGGCTTACCGCCCTTAGAATAAAAGGAAACTTAATAGGCCTAGAGCTCTGTCCAGACTATCACATTTTCTTTGGCTATAAACTGTTGTATGCCTATATATAGTCGTCAACAATTTTCTATATATGGTGATGTGATGTCATCATGACCATATTTAGGCATGTCATATGATTTTGTTGAATAAAACTTGATAGTCTGGACAGGTCTTTAGAGGGAGACCAACTTTTATATGTGTGTTGAGACTTGAACTTCCAATAGCACGTTACGGTAATATTGGTGCACATAATATCGTTGGCTAAAGATATTGGATAATCCATGATTTACTTGTTATTGCTTGCATTTATCTCTGGACGAAAATTAATTATAGGTCTATCATAATGCAAGCTTTGATACCTAATGTATGACACGGTATAGTTGATAGGCCTATGCTAGGGAAAGGGAATCCTAAAGAATTTTAAAAAGTTTTATACAACACCCTCATTGACAGCAGGCCCGTAGGCAGGATTTTCGATGGGGAGGTGCGTTTTGCAACCGAAGTGGACCTTACGATGGGCGACTGCCTAGGGATCCCCGCGAGGGTGAGGCGAATATTCTGGAAGCTCTGACAAATTAGCATTTTGAGGGCCTTTTTTCAACGGATTTCTAAAATCCATAATTTGTAATATCCTATTTAAATTTTCGTTCATTTGAGTATTGTCTAGGGACCTACAGTAAAGCAGGAGAAATAGAGGGTGGGGTGAAGGGAGAAACTTGCACAGCTCAGGGCAATCACCTCAGCCCCACCATGATTATGGCAACTCAAAGTGGCCGGAAATGGCACTCTCAGACAAACTTTAATTATGACTTTTCTTTTTTCTCCATTTCTTTTATAACTTTAGGGGGCTCTGCCCCTTTGAATCTACCACTGTGAAATCATAATTTTTCATGTCCTATATATCTGTAGGCCTACAATCACTGGAGCTGATAATTTCCCACAGATTTCGTAGCACATTATTAAAAATCAACGGGTAGAAGAGCGGGCAAAAAATGTAATGCATACTATAGCAGCATTTCGCGATAATTAGGAACGATTTTAGTGAAATAATAGGTTTTAGAAAGTGGACTTTTTGAAATTTGGTGGTCCAGGGGCAGAGGTCTGGAGGGGGTTTGTGAGAAAAGCGACGAAGTAGCATTTTGAGGGTCCTACATAATAGATTTCTCAAACACATGATAATTCATGAATATTTCATTTAAATTTTCATTAATTTGGGTGTTTTTGGGACCTGAAAAAGTAACGTTATTATGTCCTGTACATCTGCAGGCCTATAGATAACATTCTTCATATTATATAGATCAATCTGCAATCACCGGAGAAGATCAATTTCTAACAAATTTCATACCACATTATTAAAAATCAACGGTTAGATAAGCTGGCAAATATATAATGCAATGCATGCTATAGCATTTTGTGATAATTAGGAACAATTTTGTGAAATCATAGGTTTTAAAAAGTGGACCTTTTGGAATTTGGTGGGGGGAGGGGGTACATCCGCACCCACTGCACCCCTCCCCTCCCCCTCCTGCCTACGGGCCTGTTGACAGCACTCAGTTATCAAAATGTTTGCCTTCACCTGTACTGCACTCCGAAATCTGGATATTTTTGCCATACCAAAAATATATTGGCCTTGAAGTAGACATTTGCGACTGCAGTATTGTCAATCCGTTTGTACGGTTGATCATGATGTATCCGTTTTGGTATCCTACCGAGATGTTACAAGCATCAAATGTTGTCTCAAACTCCGTGGTGCTGTCGAAACTGGTGCTTTTGATTTTAAATCCAACTGGATTTTGTTTCTTCACTTCAATGTCAAAAGCAAATGTATTGATGGAAAAATTCGAAGTGAACAGAAAATGTACATATTCATAATCGGTAAGAAAATCCAAACTCGTATTAACTCTGAAGCGTTTGATATCACGTGATAGGTGAATGAGGCTGTATATGTCATCTCCACAGTCACAACCTGTACCATACAAACGAAATAGTTTAATCATGTGGTGGTGTAATAGCAAAAAAAGTGCCCACCTGCATGGGCCAAACTTTGTTAAAACGGTTTTTTTTTTGTTTTTTTTTCTCATGATCAAACATAACTCTACTCCCTCACATACAAGTTTAGCAGACGTGCTTCTTGGTAGGAACATTCTGAGCTATTTCCACAGCACGAGTACGGGAGCTAAAAATGATTCTGATTGATGGTCAACGTTATCCGAGTCTGCATGAACGATCAGTTGTTTGGCCTCACAGGATTTGTCAGTCAGTCAGATTTAGCTCGTCAGTCGACAGTGGCCTAAGTCAGACTGTCAGTCAGATTATTGTTTGCCAAAGAATAGCCAAAAATCACAATACATTGTAAACAATTTTTATGAGGGGAAAAATTTATAAATCTAAGAACTACATAACAGAAAATTAAATTGAAGGCCATTTTAGCCTTTACACTTTAATACAGTAATAAATTAATACATAACATTAGTGACAGGATAATGGATTTCTTGTAGGCCTACACCGATGGCAACTTATCGGGCACCTGGTCGTTTTCATCTAAGAATGATCCTCTCAGATTGCCGTCGACAGTCAACGGATGAAGAAATTCGTCGGCCAAAGACCAGGCGACGGAATGTGCACGAGACTCAAAACAATACATTATCCATTTACCCACCTATGTCACAGAAGTAGAAGTTTCCACGACTTCCATAGCCTGTGCTATAACCCACGTAGTTGACATCAAGAGGGTCCGAATCATTATACGTCATAAAAGCGACCTCTCCGATATATCCCACTGCAATTTCACCATCAACAAACTGAATCCAGAAACGCCGATACTCATTTCGGTCCAGAATCCCGGACTTCTGATAAACAGCAAGTGCTGTACACTGTTTACATCGTCTAATGACGGATTTTGTGTTGCCCCAACCACCAATTACGATTTCGTATAACGGGTTGAGGTCTGTATCTTGTGTCGACAATGCGATGTGTACGTCATTTGATGCCCTGACGGAGAACTCAATTTGAGTGACGCATTTTGGTAAACGTGGTAGATTATATTGATAGCTTAGCTGGTTATTTGTTTCATAATGTCTGCAATCTGGTTGGAGGAAAATAGTAATATTGAAATCTGTTATTCAAAAAAGAAAACAAAAAGGCTATGCATGACACACACGTATATTAAATCATCGAATTGTATCTCTTTTGAACTAAACTGTTCATAAAATAGCGATTCCATGTTTTAGTTAATTTCTAAGGATTTTCTTTTTTTTAATTTTAGGCATACTTAGATTCAAAGTTGACTCATCACCGTCGAGAGAGCGTTTCTAAAGCCGGGCACTCACTGCGTCGTACGCATGACGAATTTAACTCCGCTCTTGGGAACGCTAGACCACGCGACGCTGTCTGCTGAGGCTATGTTCTCACACGGCAGCTAACGGTTAGCAGGATCCGGATCCTCCTAACCGTTAGCTGCCGTGCGTCAATGCGAGAAAATCCCGATCCGGATGCCAACAATATGATGATCGAATCACTGGCCAATAAGAAACTGGAAATTGTAAACGCGTACGTGTGATTGGTTGATGATAGAAACGCCCTCAACTTGCTAACCGATAGAGCTTGCTAACCGTCGATCGCGACCTGGGCTATTCTTTCATATTCTACTACGGTCCTATATATTGGACGGGTTGTGTTTACTTTTTATAAGCAATGGCAAAAAAAAAAAAACACAAAAAAACCACAAACACAAAAAAAAAAAAAAAACACCAGAAAAAAAAAGTTTCCCAAACCTCTAAGTATTATTATTATAACAATGATGATTCATTGCTACTAGAATGGTGGCCATCTACGCCTATGTACTTGAATTTTTAAAAATTAAACACCATCAGTGTGGATAAAAAGTTGTTAAATAATTATTAATCATTTACCAGGACCACAATGGAAAACATCGGGAAATGATTATGTCATCCTGGTTAAAGATGTTAATAATTAATTTATTAATTAATTAATATATAAATAAATCAACGGGAAATTGTAGAAAATGGTAAACTATGTATTGTTATGACTAATTATATATGGTTCTTTATATTAGTAACAAATGTTACCATATTAATTATTGATTTTCTTATATTTTTTATTAAAAAAAGAAAGCTTATATAAAAAAAGAAAAGAATGTTACGGTAACTCCCAGTTTTTAAAATATAATATTTAAAGAAAACACTGTGTAGGAATCTTTATCGTTGAAGATCGTTGCTCAGCGCAAAATAATTCAAATTATAGTAGGCCTATATTCTTTTTTTTATATAAAAAAAAAATTTAAAAAAACAAGCAAAAAATAATATTAAATAAAATGCAACAGAGTATAAGGCCAGGCTCCGGAGGATTTTTTTAATTTTTTTGTTATATGTACAACTGATTTTTCTAAGACACAAAACGGTTGTTTGACGAAAAAACTAGGAAACTGTTAATGAGTGTACAGATTTTGGAATATTTAATAACGGGAGAAAAGGGGTAATCACCTCTTTTCCCCAACTTTCCCCCAGTTTTTTTTAAACACACAACAAAATCTTCTTCCAGAGCCTGGCTGTAAATTCGCTTTTGAGATCATGTCCGTCCGGCCACAGTGGATATTGTATTGTCTCTTTTAACAATAAAAACAGAGTAAGAATAAGAATATTAACTGAATTACCCGTCATTTACAATAGAGATATACCAAACATTTTTGTTTAGATAATAATACAATAAAAATGCTTGCCTTGGATAAAGTTTTACTTATAAAACATGAGACCATTACAAAATTATGATCTACATTCATGATGTTACATTTATTTAATGAAACATTTTAAAACGGTCCTACCTTCTGCATCGATGGTGGTGCAACTCAAAAAACAAACAGCGAGTGAGATGGATATTACCTTCACCATAATTCGCATAGGCATAAAAGAAAACATATTATCTAAGCGCAAAATATAAGATGGGTTTTGCTCCGGTGCCAAGCTGTGCCTGAATGCTTCAGCCAACAAATGAGACGTTCTTATCGTATGTGCTCAATGGTGTAACAAAAATGCAAATTAACTACTGAGTCATGTAATGCTCAACATCATTATACATAACAATAGGCAAAAAAAGGCATATATCTGTCTCTTATACACATCTAGATGTGTATAAGAGACAGGGTCTGGAGGGGGTTTGTGAGAAAAGCGACAAAGTAGCATTTTGAGGATCTCGCATAATAGATTTCTCAAACACATAATTCATGAATATTTCAATTAAATTTTCATTAATTTGAGTGTTTTTGGGACCTGAAAAAGTAACGTTATTATGTCCTGTACATCTGCAGGCCTATAGAAACATTCTTCATTATATAGATCAATATGCAATCACCGGAGATGATCAATTTCTAACAAATTTCATACCATATTACTAAAAATGAACGGTTAGATAAGCTGGCAAATATATAATGCAATGCATGCTAT